TCAATGGATACAAATGTGTTATATGTTGGTCTTGATTTGGGACAAATGAGGGGTTGATAAGCCGCAATACAAACCACAATTTTATACGAATGCAGGAAATGAGATTTTTGTTCGACATACATAGATGTGAGATGACTCCGAAGTCATACAAACATAATATGCGGAATACACGGATAAATACGAAGATACCGAGCACAACAAACAAACACTTCCACGTCTACATCCACATCTACATCTACATCTATTGTCGGCATTAACCACATCACAAGTAACTACACCGTTTGTTTGAATTTTTCACATCGCATAAAGAAGTACGGTTTGGCAGCAGTGTCCATTTGATCTTCACAACTACTAGTAGTATCGATCATATTAATGATGCCCTTCAAAGGAAGTCGTGTCCCATCTTCCAAATTATTTTATAGGCCAAAATTTAACAAGACATCGGTGGTAGATTATTTTAGAGGGCGGGCACGTGTGGTCTGCGTTTCACCGGCAAGGTAAACGCCATGCTACACCATTTTTAAGATTTTATTTATCTTACTAATTAATTTGCACGAGTTATCAAAGCATGTCGCATACAATGGACATGTGAAAAGAGGAGCGATATTTTTTCAGGGGAAGTAGTGATATTTCTTCAGTGGATAGTGGTTTTTCTGTAAAAGTACGGTACAATGGCACACTCATACTCACACTTCTACGGAAGCACCAAGCACATACACACTACTTCTATAAGGATCTTTTAAGAGATTGAGCCGACAAATTTAAAGTTGACGAAATCAACATAAACGCCTCATTTGCAATATAAAAAGTCATCTCCCATTGAACAAACCACCAAAAAGCCTGGAATAAACTAAAAAAAATGTGAGCACCCATGCCAATCTAGGACTTGACCGACACTGGTTGCTTCCAACACAACAGAACTAAAATCTCGGAGTTATGCTCAGTTCACGGATAGTGAAGTGGTTAAGTATACATAATTGCGAGAATGCAATGACTTATATGCATTAATCAAGATGATAGGGCAGTTGAAATGCCCAATGATCCTGGACAAGAATCTTCATATCGGGCTTAAAAGAGCGGATTTTTCGGATAATAAAATTGGTGATCACGGGGCATACATGAATTAAGTGTGGAGATATCAACTGCACATTTACGAACACACCAATAAATGCAAGGATTTTCCACCACACACCCACCAACACTACCTTTGGTTTCAGACATCTAAAAAAAGAGCCAACCACCCTAAATTTCAGCCATGGTTGATGGATACAAACGTGTTACGCGTAAGTCTCTCTTTTTTTTTTTGAAGAGTTATGCGTAAGTCTTGATACAACTGGATGTTGAAAAGCCGCAAACACAAACCATGACCTTATACAGTCATGGAAGGAGGGGGGGGGGGGGTTCTTTCCGTCAAGGGACATTTTTTTTGCATGGTAATACGTGTCTCATTCATATCATCTATATCTACATATACTCTTATAAAAAGCAGAGTTGGTGACGATGGTGTGACTGTCATCCTGTAATATAGGCCGTCCGATTTATATCTGATGGATAGGAAGGAAACTATGACAATTTTGCAAAAAGATGCCCACACCCCTCTCCACATTTACAAATAAGGTCTTCTCTTGTTCATCCTTTTCTCCCACAACATAAACTACTCATACGGATGCATCTTGATTTTCTGTGCAATGCATGGGCATCTTGCTAGTAAAAAATAAAATACAAGTCATGTAATAACCAACATGGCAAAACTGAAAAGATAGCAAAACATCTCTGAACTTGACAGCAACGCCCGTCACCTGCCTCCGGCACCACCACAGCAGCCACAGAAGAAAAGAATGACGGGTCACCTCCTCACTCGAGTTTGACGCGGCTCCATCGCTGATATGCAGCTTTACGGACTTCCAAGGTGGCTCACAAAAAATGAAGCCATTGCCGTTGAACGAATACAAGAGACGGCCGTGAAGCCATGTAAAATAAATACGGAGATATACGTGAGTAAATACGGATATATGGAGTACGTACAAGTACAAACAAACAGCTCCACATCTACGGTCAACATTATTAGACTCGGCAGTAACCATCGCTGTCTGAAATTTCCAAATCGCATATCCATTTCTCGTTTCCCGGCGAG